TTAACTAAAAGATTGGTAATGTTAACCTAATTAATGTTAACCAAAAAATTTAATGTTAACCAAAAAGTGGTCTTAGCCTACAAAATGATAATGTCAACCAACGGTGGCAATACTATTGAAAAAAGTGGTACTTTAACCAAAAAAATATTAATCTTAACCAAAACAGTGGCAGTTAATTTTAACCAAACAGTGGTAATATTATCCAAACAGTGGCACTCTTAACCAAATTAACCAAAATTGTGTTAATGTAACCAAAACAATGGTACGCTTAACCAAAACAGTAATAAGATTAATCAAAAAAATGGTAATATTATCCAAAACAGTGGTACTCTTAACTAAAACAGTAGTAACATTAACCAAAAGTGATAATATTATCCAAAACATGGTAATGTTAACCAAAAAAGTGATATTTTTAACCAAAACAGTGGTATTGTTAACTAAAAAAATGGTAATATTAACCAAAAAAATGGTACTCATAATCAAAATAGTGGTAATATTAATAAAAAAAGTTGTACTATTAACTAAAAAAAGTTGTAATGTTAACCAAAAAAGTGATAATCTTAACCAAAACAGTGGCAATGTTCACTAAATAAGTGGTACTCTTAACAAAAATAGTGGTACTATTAACCAAAAGAATGATAATCTTAACAAAAATAGTGACAATATTATCTAAACAGTGATCATCTTAACCAAAATAGTGGTATTGTTAACCAAAAAAATGGTACTCATAATCAAAACAGTGGTAATATTAACAAAAAAATGGTACTATTAACCAAAGCAGTAGTACTCTTAACCAAAATAATGGTAATGTTTACCTAAAAAGTGGTACTCTTAACTAAAAAAATAGTAATATTATCCAAAACATGGTACTCTTAACCAAAACAGTGATACTCTTAATCAAAATAGTGATAATGTTTACCTAAAAAGTGGTACTTTTAACCAAAAAAAATGGTAATATTATCCAAAACATGGTACTCTTAACCAAAATAGTGGTAAGGTTAACCAAAAAAATGGTAATATTATCCAAAACAGTGGTACTCTTAACGAAAACAGTGGTACTCTTAACCAAAAGAGTGGTAATCTTAACAAAAACAGTGACAATAGTATCCAAAACAGTGGTACTCTTAACCAAAATAGTGGTAATGTTAACAAAAAAAGTGGTACTCTTAACCAAACAGTGGTATTGTTAAACAAAAAAATGTAATATTAACAAAAAAAAGTAGTACTCATAATCAAAATAGTGGTAATATTAACCAAAAAAAGTGGTACTATTAACTAAAAAAAGTGGTAATGTTAACCAAAAAAAGTGTAATATTAACCAAAAAAATGGTACTCTTAACCAAAATAGTGGTAATGTTCACAAAAAAAGTGGTATTCTTAACAAAAATAATGGTACTCTTAACCAAAATAGTGCTAATGCTTACCAAAATAGTGATAATGCTTGCCAAAAAAGTGGTAATATTATCCAAAACAGTGGTTCTCTTAACCAAAACAGTGGTATTGTTAACCAAAAAAATGGTACTTATAATCAGTGGTAATATTAACAAAAATAGTGGTACTATTAACCAAAAAAAGTTATAATGTTAACAAAAAAAGTGGTACTCTTAACAAAAAAAAATGGTACTGTTAACCAAAAGAGTGGTAATCTTAACCAAAACAGTTCTAATTTAACAAAAAAAGTTGTACTCTTAACAAAAAAAATGTAATCTTTACCAAAAAAGTGAATGTTAATCAAAAATGTGTATTTATTTATTTTTAAATAGAAGGTTACTATAATTTCAACCTTAGTTTTAAACTAATAAATGATGATGATTTAAAATCTCATAAAAGATTCATAAGGATAAAAACAATTTTGTAACTCCATCTTCTTCTTTATTCTTCTTCTTCGTCGTGTGAATTTTTTTTTTATGAACTTACTATAATCTCAATCTTAGTTTTAATAAATGATGATGATGATTTTATAATCTCATAGTGATAAAAATAATTCTGCAACTCCATGTTTTTCACGCTAAATAAATTATATCAGACATATCATATTTGTTACACCTTTGGTGTTAAATTAAAATAGGTAAAAAAAAATTGGGCTAATGAAACTAATTACATAGTTCAAGGTATAATATGAAAAATATGATGAATAAATTGAAAAAATGTGATAATTTTGGGATATAAGTGAAATTTATTGGACAAGCTAAAATCTTTATTGTTGGACAAACTAAATTTATTAGACAATTCTGCAACTTCATCTTCTTTCTCCTTCTTCTTCGTTGTTTGAATTTTTTTTTTTTAAATAAATTTACTATAATCTCAATCTTAGTTTTAATAAATGACGATGATTTTATAATCTCATAGGATAAAAAATAATTCTCTTACTCCATTGATCTTTCTCCTTCGTCTTCCTATTGAGCGGTTTTTTTTTTCAATGAAAAGACCATCTTTTTTTTTTAATGAAAATACCATTTTTTTTAAGGGTAAGTGGGTAGCCAGTTAAAATTAACAGGCTTGATCAACGGTAGAAATTTTTTAACAATTGTGAACCGTTCATTGCCTTTTTTCGGTACCATACGAAAAAGTTGTTTTCGGCACTATAGTTGGACCCCATTGTGGAGGATTAGAATTAGAAGTAACGTAATAACTGGCATCAGGAAATGTCTTTTTGCTTACCTTCTGTTTATAGCCTATGCTTAAAAAGGCAAGGATCAAAATATCGTTTCGAAACAGTCGAAACGTCCGAAATATTTTTATTTCTAAGAAGACCGAAACGAAACAGTGATGAAAATAAAATTCTGATATTTCGAGATAGTCCATAATATTTTTAAATGTATTATAATATTTCAATACATTTACACAACTGTTTTAAAATGTTTTAAGGTATTTCAAGATACTTTAATATATTTTCATCAATATTTTAAAAAAATAATTCTTAAATTTTTTACTCTTTTTCTTATGTTTTTGAAACGGTCCAAACGTTTCCGAAACATGTCAAAACGTTTCCATTTCCTAGGTGACCGAAACAATACACCGAAACGATATTTTGATTNTAATAAATTGAATTTTTTTTTAAATAGTTTTAGATGTTAATTTGATTAATTGATCGAAGAACCAACAGAAATGAATTTAGGCGGGAATTGGGTTACTGTGGTGTCAAAATTTCATTCATCCATTTATTGGCCTAATGCCAATTTTTTTTAAAAAAAAATTGATTTGATAAATTGAATTTTTTTTCAAATAGTTTTAGATGTTATTTGATTAATTGATGGTTAATTGAACGAATTTGATTAATTGACGTTTATTTCAGATGTTAATTTGTTGAATTAAGTGTTAATTGGATGGATATGAATGTTCATCTAATTTGATGAGTNAATAGAGTAAACTTCAATAAGCTTTAATAAGTCCATCCAACAATTTTAAATAAATTCATTCCAACGGTCATCACCGTTCCTTTTAAAAACACTCGCATTGAATTCCCCCCGCCCCCAAAAAAAAATATATATATATATATATATATATGCACCGCTTCTTACTTACTGTTACTGTGACATCGGTTACACCTAGTATGTGGGTTATACCTAGTATGACATATACATACTCGTGCACACACTCTCATATGCCTCTTTTTATTTATCTGATTCTGTCCCAAGTCCATAGATGCTTTATGTATTGGACACCGGTTGATATCATGCTCAAATAATCTATAATGTATCCTTGTAACTTAAATTTGGTAGAATATGGGTTTGAGTGATAGGTCTAATGGATTTATGGCTCTCAATATCTGTTACTTTGTTGTAGATTTTCAGTCTGTTTTTCCCTGAAGGGTTGCAGCCGATTGGGTGTTGGGAAGGGCGATTTTGTTGCAGGTAATGCAGTTCTTAGATGATTCCAATGTTTTTTTGTTTGGTTTCTCAAAAATGCTTTTGCGATTAAAATCAGTAGATAGCAGATGGTCTACTTTTGGTCAACAAACTTTAATATCTTAGGTACAGTTCATGTACTCTTCGTCTTCAATGCCACTTTAATCCAATTGTAGTAGTAGGAGCTTACAGAGGTGCACCATGGGAATTAGATGCAATCATATCCAAGATGCAGTGTTAGCTGCGGAAAATGTTTTTGTTTGAACAATTACATTCTCCTTCTTGATTGCCTTCCTTTAATTCTAATGGCCAGATAGCATTAATCGTATTGCAAATTGTATGTATATATATATATATAAAGAAACCAAACGCATAATTAATAATATAAAAAATGAGAGTTACATCAAAGAGGTTGGATAAGAAATCCAACCAGCAATAAAAAGAAAACAAAGGAAAAATAAAGTTACATAACAAGTCTATAAATCACGAATCTCTCTCCATCCTGATTACAAAAAGCGGAATTCCTTTGAAATCCTTTGAGACCGATGCCCAAAATGAGGCTAAGAAATGAATACGGTCCCACAATCCTTCCAAAGACTCATCAATCTTCAAAGATTCTTGCATTTCTTTCATTCCAAATAACCCAAAAAGTAGCAAGAATAGCACAGTTCCAAAGAGTCCCACGTTTATCGTTTCTTACAAAGCCTTTCATCTCTTCAATAAAGAAAGATGTGTATAAAGTAGGAATCGCCCAGCACAAAGCCTTTCATCTCTTCAATACTTCAGGTATACTTCTATTTTGGAACACTAATGTTTGGCAATCCAAAAATTTAACATGGAGGTTCCCAATGTGACAAAGTGTCCACACGTAACGTATAGCTGTTGCACTCTAATTATGAATTTATGATACATACCAAAATGCAAAAAAAGTTTAAGGATGCAATGTTAATCAAATTCTTAGCAGTATTTACTCCTGGGTGACAAGTTGTACTAAAAGTTTATGCTTGGAAGCTGGATTGCTTCCCTGATGTCATATTTGTAAGTTGCGCTAGAATTCGGAGTTGGTGGCCAAATAGTCAATTTGTCATACAATTATTATATATTAGGCTCAACATTATGAACTTGTAAGACATCAAAAACCCTTCATACCTCATGGAAGCTATCCAGCTTCAATGCTATAGGAGAGCATGGGGACGTAAGATGGACGAATGTGGATGACTTTGTTGGAGAGAGAGTCTACCATAGGTGATAGAAAGTACAAGGGAGAGGCATTTTGAAATTGTTTGGATGTGTGCATCTCCTCTCACGAGTGCTAAACTGAGATCTCAGAATAAGATTTTAGAGAGCATGTTGGAGGTAGGATAAAATACCAGATTAAGAAAATGGTTAAAGGTGGAGGGTAGTGTTGTTAATTGAAGTAAACTACTTGTACTTTTTTCTTGCTTCTATTATGCATGCGTTTATATGTTTGCTCTCTGGCATTTTTTCCCTTCTTCATTTGATTTAGTTTTTTAGTGGTGGTTCTGATATTTAATCTTTTTGTGCAGCATCATTGAGAACCCCGAAATGGTACAAACGTAAAGCAGGTGACTCTTTTGGTTTTGGAGGGAAGCTTGTTTCATTTCACTCTGCAGATGCTGTAGCTGGATCTTCGGAGGTATGATTGGAGGGATGTGTACTACTATGTTCTTGGATTTGCACTACTATGTTCTCTTTGCATGACCTCCTCTGTTTATTACTCTATCTGTTCCAGGTTTATTTGCATAATGTTCTTATAGAACAAAGTTTGGTGAGTTGCTCTTCTGAATTTGAAGCTGCAATACAAAATTTAGAGAGATCTTCACTGAGGCTTTTATGCAATAAAAAATCTCAAGAGTCCGAGTATGTTTCTGTAAGAAGAAATGAATTACTTATCTTTTCATGCCTAGATTAAGATATGAACTGGTCTACTACTTCGTATTTTTATTTCATTGTCTGAACAGATCTGAAGATGAGAGGGAGACTTGGGGCTTCTTGAAGGTTATGTTTGAAGATGATGGAACAGCAAGGACAAAGCTGCTTACCCACCTAGGTTTCAGTCTGCCTGCTGAAGGGGAAAATGCTGTACAAGATGATCTCTCCCAGGAAGTAAGTGCTTTTGAAGAAAGGGTAGCAGATAATGAAGGATATGTGGAAAGTAAAGAATCCTCTGTCTATCCTTTGGATAATGGTGAAGATTTCCTTAACAATCTTCCCAGTCCTAAAGTTGATACACCTTCATCAACTTTGGGTAGTAACTTTGTATGTGGAGGCTCTGTTCCTAGTGGGGAAGAGAGGCAACGAGAGTTGAATGGACAAGAGGAGATTGTTGATCCATCATTTGATGATGCCGTTCAACGAGCCTTGGTTGTTGGGGACTACAAGGGGGCAGTTGCACAGTCCGTCGCTGCAAATAGAATGGCTGATGCTTTAGTTATTGCACATATTGGGGGTGGTTCGTTGTTGGAGAGAACATGTGATCAATACCTTAAGATGAATCGTTCCTCTTACCTGAAGGTAAGCACACTTCTTTTCATTTGTTTGAATGGGGTCAAACCATTGCTTGTTTTGATCTTCCTTAGTGTTAGTGGCTCTTTATGTTAACCTAAGAACAGTCAAATGATTCTCATTGTAATTTATTGATTATTTATGTGCATTCTAAGCATTCCCCTGGTTGTTCTGTTTACAACTTCAGGTTGTTTTAGCAATGGTGAACAATGACGTAATGAGCCTTGTAAACACAAGGCCCTTGAAGTCCTGGAAAGAAACACTTGCTCTCCTCTGCACCGTAAGTTTTCCACCTTCAGAGGATGAAGTCATAAATAGGTGACATTGGAAACCCAGAGTGCATTTCGTGTTGACTTACATTTGAACTGCACCTTACGAAAGAATTGAGATTGTCCGAACCACCCTCCTCTTCTTTTGGTTTTTATGGGCCAGGAGGAGAGGTTCCTCCATTACGTCTAGTTTTTTTCAGCTGCAATTCTATATTGTAACACACTATCTTATTCTTTTAATGATTATTTTACTTCCAACTGAGAGATAACCTTATCATAAGTGACTGCTACTCTTCTGCTGCATTGTTGCAATTATATTTTAGACTTTTTGGGGGAACCTGTTTGGATGCTTATTATTATGGAAGTCTCAAGAGTTGTTTGAGTATACTGCAAAAGCAAAAATCCAGGACTTCATTGCTGAAAATTTTGATCCTGGTGTCTTTGTTTTAGTGACGGTGCCTTTGCATAGTGCATGGACCAATGCAAAGTGCATTTTTGTCATTAAGTTTTTACGATGATGAAGCTATGAATAAAATCACAGCATTCTCTCTTCCTACTGATATATGGCANATTGCAAAAGCAAAAATCCAGGACTTCATTGCTGAAAATTTTGACCCTGGTGTCTTTGTTTTAGTGACGGTGCCTTTGCATAGTGCATGGACCAATGCAAAGTGCATTTTTGTCATTAAGTTTTTATGATGATGAAGCTATGAATAAAATCACAGCATTCTCTCTTCCTACTGATATATGGCAATTCTCTTATGTTCTAATTATCATCGTTGACAAACAATTTGCACAGAAAGAGGAATGGACTTTGCTGTGTGACACACTTGCTTCTAGATTGATGATTGCTGGTAATACTCTAGCTGCAACTCTTTGTTATATATGTGCTGGAAATATTGACAAAACAGTGGAAATTTGGTCAAAGAGTCTGGCAACTGAATTCGAAGGGAAATCTTATGTTGATATTCTTCAAGTAAGTATAATACTTTCAAATATTCTGTTTTTTTTTCTCATGGATCAAAATTTTGTTTCTTTTTCACCGAAACTTTTGAAACGTTTCCATTTCCATGGATACCAAAATGAATCAGTGATTAAATATTGAAATTTCTCTGTTTTGAGGTATTTTGGTATATTTTGACTAATATTTTGGAATGGTTTGAGAAGAAATTTTCACATTTATTCTTTGTTTCTATTTTTTCTCCGAAATGTTTCTGAAACATTTCCGTTCCCAACTACAGAAACTATGCGCTAAAAGGAACTTTTGATCCTTGGTTCGTCTTCTACTACTATTTATTTTTTTGTCTTTTCTTTCTTTTTTTTTTTTTTTTTTTTGTCTTCTTTGNTTACTAATATTTTGGAATGGTTTGAGAAGAAATTTTCACATTTATTCTTTGTTTCTATTTTTTTTCCGAAATGTTTCTGAAACATTTCCATTCCCAACTACAGAAACTATGCGCTGAAAGGAACTTTTGACCCTTGGTTCGTCTTCTACTACTATTTATTTTTTTGTCTTTTCTTTCTTTCTTTTTTTTTTTTTTTTTTTGTCTTCTTTGTGGCTCATGGTGCAAACAGTCTTGAAAGTTGACACATTTAGTTATTTTGATAGGATTTAATGGAAAAGACTATAGTTCTTGCTTTGGCAACTGGGCAGAAGTGATTTAGTGCTTCTGTGTGCAAGCTTGTTGAGAAATATGCTGAAATATTGGCAAGCCAGGGGCTTTTAACNAAACAGTCTTGAAAGTTGACACATTTAGTTATTTTGATAGGATTTAATGGAAAAGACTATAGTCCTTGCTTTGGCAACTGGGCAGAAGTGATTTAGTGCTTCTGTGTGCAAGCTTGTTGAGAAATATGCTGAAATATTGGCAAGCCAGGGGCTTTTAACAACAGCAATGGAATACTTAAAGCTTATGGGGACCGAGGAATTGTCTCCTGAACTTATGATCTTACGAGACCGAATTTTTCTCTCTACAGAACCTGGTATGTAAAATCGGAAACGTTTAACGTGCAGCATTCAGTGTGTCATTTTCTTGTTTTGGTAGTGATTATGTGCCACTGGCAATTCTTCTCTTACCCCTGGACGAAGTTCATTGGTGCTTTCTTTTAAGGTATACTCAGCATTGTTCATTCTTGTCTTTGATGGTTTGTCCACATGCTTCGTTCCTATGTTTGTATAGATTCAAATTTATTGGATTTCTGAATAGAAGAATATTTATATGGTCACTGATAACTGTTTTAAGTCCCATTAAATCGTATGTTGTTGTTTATGGTCTGATATATGAGTAGGAAGTGGCAAGCACATTACTTGGTTTATGTATAACTTTTGGAGTCAGATTTGGTCTGTTAAGTCTTTGTCCACGTGTTTATCATTGTTAGAGATAGTTAAATGATGTTGTTGACACTACACACTTTAAGTGGCAGTGTATGTTATCGGTTCTTGTAATATCAATGCAGTATGCCATACGGAGCACAAAGTGCATAAATGCACTCTCATATATGACAATGAAAAAGACTGGTTTACTTAAATTTAGTTTGTGTACCCCTTACTTCCCACCTTTCCATTGCACCCAAGAAAACTTGAATTTTACTCTATCACATGCCCTTACTCACTAACCCTCGATGACCATTTTTTACCGAACATCTAGCTTTGACTGTGTATTGTGCTTTCTGAAACTACATTGTAAAATTTTTAACTCACCTGCATAAAAATCTCGATATTTTCCTTGGAATTTGGAAAAAAAAAAATTTGTTGCTTAAAACATGTCATGTTTGTAAATTGCAACACCATTTACTTGTGGTGCATCATGTGTGAAAGGAGTGAGGAGAGCATTGATCATCTTTTCCTCTGTTGTCCCAAAGCCTTTTCTGTAAGGAGTAGATTGTTTGATACAGTAGAAATTTGCTGGATCACTCCAGCTTCTTGTATGGTGGTGTTTGAAATTGAGTTTGTCGGGGTTTTGGATGGAGTCAAAAAGCAAGATCACTTTGGAGACATATAGTGTTGGCATCTTTTGGGTCATTTGGCTAGAGAGCAATGCAAGAACTTCTGAAGAAAAAGAGTGAGCTAGGGGATGGTTTATGGAAAAGAAATGTTTTTTTGGTCTAGTGTGTCCTCATTTTGTCATAGGATTAAGGCTGATTTGAAAGCTTCCTCTGATTTGCAGTTTTTTGGTCTAATTTTTCTTTTAAGCTTTTTTTTTTTTTTTTTTATGTCCTATTATCGGGACATCTTGTACCTCATGTATTACTTTTTCAGGTTGAAAAGTTTCTTGTTGATGATAAAAAAAAAAAAAAGAAAAGAAAAGAAAAACATTTAGTTGTGGTTTAGAAGATTCAGGCGGTTGCATGTTCTCAAGTAAAATAACAAATTTTTCAATGTATAACATTCCCTATTAAATTCTCCTGGTAATCCATTGAAAAGTTGGTTTTTATTTTATTTTCTATGTCCAACCTCTCGCATCTTTGCCTTCCAAAAATGATGAAAGCAAATGATTGCATGTTACACTTCACAAATTCTTACCCACATTTTTTTTTCGGTTTTCTTGGGTGTGAGTGTTACCGTTAAGAGTTCAGGAAGTAAATCTGAATCTGCCCCCAATTTGAGCGCTGAAGGTGTAATTTACTTATTTTTCTGTGACAGTGTTTCATGGATACATTGGTTATGTTTTTTTTATATGCTTGGAACTTGGAACTCTTCGTCTGCTTTATCTACTTCTCATTCAAGTATAATGAGGTTTTGCCCTGCAGCTTGTCTTAAGCAGGCTTCATAGTTCCTGACATTTTACTGTTACTTGATGATTTTCCTTTTTTCACCGCAGATAAAGAAGTACCTAATTCTATGGCTTTCGAAAACTCTCAACCACAACCAGGAGCTGTATATGCTGCTGATCAAACCAGTTATGGCACCGTTGATACCTCTCAAAATTATCAGGTGGTTTTGCGTTGCATCTTGTTGATATCTGATATTTTTGCAGTTCTAGTTGCCATTTAACCAGAATCTACTGCCTTGCTGACGCTGATCATTTTCTACTCAGGAAACAGCCCTATCGCAACTGCCTCTCGGCATGCCTAACAGTCCTTATGATGGTATTTACCAATCCTCAGTTGGTGCTACATATGGGTGAGGATATGGTGCCACTCCTTCTCCATATCAACCTGCACAACAGCCTAATATGTTTTTCCCATCCCAGGCACCTCAAGTTCCCCCGGTATTAGCGNGTACAAAACAGCCTAATATGTTTTTCCCATCCCAGGCACCTCAAGTTCCCCCGGTATTAGCGTGTTTTGTTCTTTTTCTTTTAGTTATTCTTGCTTAGTTTCTACTAGCGATAGAAATATTCATACTGTACTCTTGCCATTTTTATGTTGATATAGTGTTGCTTATTACTGCTGGATTTGATGTTTCTTCTTTTTTAATTATATTTGTTAGTTTCTTAAAAGAATCAGTTCTAGTTACTGTATCTAAAGTCTGAACTAATACAGTTATCAAGCTTTCAGTCAGCATCAAGGGCGGAGCCACTTGAGGAACAGGGGGGCACATGCCCACCCTAAATTTTTTTTTTAAAATATTACTTATGTATATTTCAAATAATTTGAAGTATATTTAAGTGTGTCCACTCTATCATTTTTTGTTCTATCAATTAGTATAGTCCCCGTACCTAAATAATTATGAATTTTTTGACACACTTTGGATACTTTGGGGATACGTCTATATAAGTTTTTGACATGTCAAACTCATTTTTTTTAAGCTATAGAAATTTCAATTAAAAAAAAAATAGAGATTAAGGCAACTAGGTTACTTAATTAAATGAGTGATCAATGACTAATAGTTTAATCATATATATGGAGAAATATTATACTATCTTTTATGCAGTTTGCTTCATTTATTATGAAGAGGTATAATTAACCTTTCTTTTTTGTTTGTTTTTATTTATGTTTGTTATATTTATCAAAGTTTCACCTTTTTCATATTTTATGAAATTTTAAGTATCGAATACAATATAGTAAATTTGAATATATTATTTTATTTTTATTGATTAGAAGAAAAAAAATTAAAATTTTTTAGTAAAGTGCCCACCCTGGATATAATTTCTGGCTCCGTCCCTGGTCAGCATTCTCACCCTTCCGACACATACACTCATGCACTGCTTGCCTTTTTCATTTTCTCCTCGGGTCTTTCTCATGTTTAATTTTTTTAGTGTGCCTAACATCTCTAATTAGTACTCTGTCTTGGTGAAAATTTTCTCGACTTTTTAGTTTCTTTTTTTTGGGTTTTGGGGGGGGNTTTTTTTTTTTTTTTTTTTTTTTGTTGTGTGTGTTGTGGTTTTTTTTTTTTTTTTTTTTTTTTTTTGTTTTGTGGGTTCTGTTGTGGTTTTGTTTGAAAATTGCTATTAGTCAATGCTGTCCCTTATTTTTACTTTTCCTTCCAGGTGAACTTTGTTCAGCCTCCCGCCACCATTCAGCCTGCTGTTAAACCATTCATTCCTGCAACCCCTCCTCCATTGCAGAACGCTGGGGAATTTCAGCAGCCAACACTGGGGTCTCAGCTATATTCTGTAGGTATATCTGTTGTTGTTTGTTTCCTCCCCTGACCAATTGTTTTTAATATGCTGAAACTTGCATTACATACTTGTTTTCAGGGGAATGCTAACCCCAATTATCAAGCTGGACCACCAGGGGTTGGTTCACTTGGCCCTGTGACATCTCATGGGGGTCCACCTCCTGGGCATAATGTGCCTCCGGTTGTTGCTCCCACTCCAGCATCAAGAGGATTTATGCCAATTACAAATTTGGGAATGCATAGACCTGGGATAGTTCCTGTGCAGCCATCCAGTCCTGCAAAGTCAGTACCAGCACAACCAGCTGTAACTCGTGCCCCTCCTCCACCTACAGTGCAGACCGTTGATACGTCCAATGTACCTGGTAATATGTGTTCCCTTCCTTTTTATCCTTTTATATGTGAGATTTTTCAGGTGCCACTGAGCTAAAAAAAACTGAGGGTTCTTGGTTTGANTCCTCTTTATCCTTTTATATGTGAGATTTTTCAGGTGCCACTGAGCTAAAAAAAACTGAGGGTTCTTGGTTTGAATAGTTGATGCTATTGGTTTCATTCGGCTTAGATATTGTTACTTTTAGATGCTCAAAAGAATAAATCTATTGGAAGGAAAGTTTTATGTAATTTGGGGTACAGGGTAAAAGAATGAAATGTATAAATTCATTAAAGAAAATGATGCACCCTAGTTGAAGGTTTCTGAAGGTTTTTTTAGATTTGTCACTGCTAGAAGAAAATGATTTTCTACTCTGAAGCTATATACGTATGTTTTCTTTCATTTGTCTGGAATTGTCCCCTTGTACTTCTTCTCCCAAGCACCTAATACTTGGCTCGTTTGTGTATGTTGTGCTTCAGCTCATCAAAAGCCCGTCATTGCAACCTTGATGAGACTTTTCAAGGAGACATCCGAAGCGTTGGGAGGTTCGTGTGCAAATCCAGGTAGGAAGCGGGAAATAGAGGACAATTCAAAGAGAATAGGCACCNAGGTATGTTTTCTTTCATTTGTCTGGAATTGTCCCCTTGTACTTCTTCTCCCAAGCACCTAATACTTGGTTCGTTTGTGTATGTTGTGCTTCAGCTCATCAAAAGCCCGTCATCGCAACCTTGATGAGACTTTTCAAGGAGACATCCGACGCGTTGGGAGGTTCGCGTGCAAATCCAGGTAGGAAGCGGGAAATAGAGGACAATTCAAAGAGAATAGGCACCTTGTTTGCAAAGCTTAACTGTGGAGACATATCAAAAAATGCTGCTGAGAAGCTAGTTCAGCTCTGCCAAGCTTTGGACAATGGTGACTTTAGCACTGCATTCCAAATCCAGGTACCGCTATTGCAATTTTAGATGCTTTATTTAGAGAGGCATATCCCAATTATATATTCCTATGAAGTGCTAGTTCTCCTTATTGACTCGGTCCAGTACAGATACAACTTACCACAAGTGACTGGGATGAATGCAACTTCTGGCTAAATACACTCAAACGAATGATCAAGACGAGGCAGAATGTGAGATAAATTAGAAAGCTCAATTCCATCACAAGCATCCAACACCGATTTGCTGTCCCTATCAGGTGTGGGGTTGTTTTACAGAACTAATTCTTCCTTTGTACACTAGAACTGGCATCCTTGGTTTGTGATGGCAGGGTTTTTTGTTTATTGTTCCCTTTCTTTTCCTGCCCCAGTATCTTTCCTAGCTTTTAATTCATCAGTATTTATGAAAGCAGTTAGATAAGACAGTTCCCGAGACATTCATGGATTTTTCTTACTGATTCCATTTTATAGATTTAGTGTTCAGAAAATATAATTTGGGTTCAATGTAATATATGCTTTTCTTTCGGGCTCTTCTTTAAGGTAAAGCTGCTCATATAGTTCTTGGCTTTCTGTCTCTATTTTTCAAGTATAAGACCCGATCTTTCTGTCTCATAAGAGACTTCTCTGCGTTACATTAAGTTCATATAGTTTTTGAGTTTCATCCTTTTGCCCACAGTTAATTGAGTGAGCTGTTTCGAGGATTATCTTTCAACACTTTTGCCTCCTGTTATTGTATTTTTGAGGCCAATAATTCGTACTCCTCATAGACTTAATGAGTTGGAATATTTACAATTCTGTATTTTTTGCGAACTTCCTATTTTTCTATGACTTAATTGACTTGGCTTTGGGTTTTTTTCCCCTCCCCTGGTACTTTGATTTTGTTTTTTCAAATGTTGGTTCTCCCCAAGAATCAAAATTTTGTTTTAAAACATTTCTGTTTCTGGGTAGACAGAAACGAATCGGTGATAAAATCAAAACTTCAATGGTTTAAGATGTTTTGAGATATTTCGACATGTTTTCACCATTGTTTTGACATGTTTTAGAAATATAATTTTAAATTTTTTATTCCTTTCCAATCTATTTCCAAAATGTTTTCATTTCATAGATAATTGAAATAATGTACCGAAATGACATTTTGATCGTTGGTTCTCCCAAACATTACAGTATAGTTAAGTAGCAGAAAGTTGGGGTCTTTGAAGTTTCTTGATTGCACGGTAGGCTTGAACTTTTAATGACTTTTTTGTTGACCATCAGATTGTCTCTGCGTGTCATTTTTAAATTTTACTATTTTTGGTGTAAATAGATACGTCTTGTTTTCTTGAGCTTTTGCTTTAGTCGCAAGTTTTACGAGGTATAACACTTTTGCTAAAAATCCGGTAGTTGAGGAGATAATGAAAAGCTGGGAGAAAGAATGAAAGAAAATAAAACGAAAACAACCTTTTATTTGTGGTGAGATAATAGTAATCTTTTTGTTTATGTTCTTTATTCTTTGGATTTATGGACATATTATTTTTTTTAGTTAAATTATTTTTTTTATAATTTTTTTATTATACGACCAGTCCAACTAGTTGACCCGACGGTTGAACCATTAACCTAGGTGGCATTTGGTATCTAGTTGTTTTTATTTTATTTTTTTTTTGTTTTCATTTTTTGTTAAAATAAAAAACAATAGCGTGTTTGAAATGCGTTTTCATTTTTTTCAAGCTATATTGCTTCGAAAACAAGGTCCAAAACTATAAACACCCAAAATGATGTTTTTGAAAACATCCAAAATTGAAAACACGCCCGAGCATCGATTATTAATTAATGAGATCCAACCTTCGAATCTCATTAGCAACAAAATGAGATTTTTTTTTGTGGCAACTATAAAACCCTCTTTCCTCTGTTTTTTTTTTTTTGCCCAGCCGCTTTCCCTCATTTGTCTCTCTCTCTTGATGCCTCCTCTGAAATCCATTTCCACGAAGACAAAGAGATGCCTCTTTATGAAACCCACTATCACCAAGACAATCACCAAGACAAAGACGAGAAGATGAAGACGAAATCAAACACAATGACGAAACTTACACAGATCTATATATAGACATAGATCTACATAGGAGTGTGATCATACCAGCACTAATGCACCGAATCCGATTAGAACTCCGCAGTTAAGCGTACTTGGACGAGAGTAGTATTAGGATGAGTGACCCCTGAGAAGTCCTCGTGTTGCACCCCATTTTTAATAAAAAAAAAAAAAGGCATAGATCTACATATATGTTGTTATATATTCATAAATTTATATGTGTCTGTGTTTATTTGTGTTTGTGTGTGTGTATGTGTGTTGTATATATGTATCTCTGTGTATGTGTGTTGTATATGTGTTATATGTGTGCTGTATATTTGTGTTTGTATGTGTGTGCAAGATCATCTCGTGTGTGTGTGTGTGTCCCAACAAGAATGTCTCCAATTGAGACATTTATTTGGAATTAAAATATTAATCAAAATCCCACCACCTAGGGGCGTTGGTGGTGGGTAAATAATTGGGTTGGGTAATGTTGGTAGTGGATTGGGTGGTGGCTAAATAAGGGTGGTGGTGGTGGGTTTTCGGTGGTTTGGTAGTGGCGACGGTGGCTGGGTGAAGTGGGTTTCATTGATTTGGGTAAAGATGTATTTGTGATTAAAAAATTAATTAAAATAATCATAATGAATTATGAAAACGCTATTATAATAGAAAACATATTTTTTATTTTTGTTTTTATAATTTTTTAAATTTAAATGACTACCAAACATGTTTTATATTTTTAATTTTTATCACAGAAAAAACAAAAACTTGTTATGTTTTTTTTTAAGAAATAAACGTAAAAACGAAAACGTTACCAAACGCACCCCTAATTTCTCTGTCGATTTGATGTCTGATCCAATTTTAATAACACTAATTCACAGGGTATTTATAAGAGATTCTTTTTAAAATGGAAGAATATGAAAGGTAAGTTCTAAATTGTAACTAATACCTTGAATTCAAAAGGTCTAAACTTTAAATCAAAGGCATATCATTATTCCTGGAATTTGTAGGATCTAAACCTTCGACTACCGATCACCCACTTTTTGGTATGGTACCAAAAAAACAAAATCAACGGTAGATGAATAAAGAATAACTTCCAACCATTGATCAAGTATATCACTTTTTACCAGCTACCCACGGAGTCTTATAAATTCATAAAAAAATTAAAACTCAAACGAAGAAAAATGAGATTTAAGAAGATTGAATTGCAGAGTTGTTTTTATCCCTATGAATGTAATGAAGAATTTCCAACCGTTGATCATGTGTATCACTTTTTACCGGCTACCACTGAGCCTTACAAATTCATAAAAAATAATCAGATCAAGAAGAAGGAAGAAGGTGGAGAAAGAAGATGTATTTGCAGAACTATTTTTATCCCTATGAACCCTTCAAGAGATCATAAAATCATCATCATTTATTAAAACTAAGGTTGAAATTATAGTAAAAGTACTACTTTTGTTGGTTAACATTACCATTTTTTTGGTTGAGAGTATCACTTTTTTAGTTAACATTACCACTGTTTTGGTTAAGAGTACAATTTTTTTGGTTAACATTTATTACGACTATTTTGGTTAATATTTTCATTTTTTGGTTAAAAGTACCACTGTTTTAGTTACATTACCACTTTTTTGTTAACATTACCACTGTTTTGGGTAAGAGTATCACTTTTTTGGTTAATATTACCATTGTTTTGGTTAAGAGTACATTTTTTTTGGTTAAAAGTATCACTATTTTGGATAATATTATCACTTTTTTTGTTAACATTACTACTATTTTGGTTAAGAGTATCATTATTTTGGTTAACATTACCATTTTTGTTAACATTACCACCATTTTTGGATAATATTATCATTTTTTTTCGTTAACTTTACTATCATTTTGGTTAAGAGTACAATTTTTTTGGTTAACATTACCAATTTTTTGGTAAGAGTACAATTTTTTTGGTTACTATTACCACTGTTTAAGTTAAATTTAACACTTTTTTGGGTGTAATATTATCACTTTTTTTTATAAGATTACCCGTTATTTGAAGCAAAATTATCATTTTTTTTTGGGTAATATTATAATTTTTAGGGAAAATTACCACTTTTGAGGGAAAGATTACTACTTTTTTTTGTTAATATTACCATTTTTTGAGTTAGAATACAACTTGCTTGTACTTAGAATACAAATTATTTGGGTGTAAGAATAAAATTTTTTGGGTGTAACATTATCACTAGTTATTTTGTAAGAATACCATTTTTTTTTGGTAAGATTACCCATTATTTGAGGCAAGATTACTACTTTTTTGTTAACATTACCATTTTTTGAGTTATAATACAACTTGCTTGGGCTTAGAATACAATTTTTTTGGATGTAAGATTACAACAGGTTTCCCGGATTTTTAGAGGTAAAATTACGGTAAGAATTTATAATCTTATTACTAAATTACCACAATCATTTGCTCATCTCAACCATTACCAAAAACATATTGCATTAATTTGTTTCATCACATTTCACTACTGTTAGTTCAACTATTGTATCAACAACCAACAACTACAATTACATATAATTGTCACTTCCTAACTATTTTTTTGCTTTTCATAAAAAAAGACTCAATTCTATCCCATCTGTTATCAATTCTATCCAACCTACTATTAATCACCTTCAGAGACTCCTTTATTTCATTTTGAGTATTTTCAAATTCTTCTATCTTTCTGCCCATTTGTACCAGCAAATGCTCAAATATAGACAATGGAGGATCATCCGACGAAGGAAGACCACCCGTGGAAGAATGTGGGACATCCTGGGCTGCAATATTATCCTCAGTTGCAACTTCATTCTGGATTTCAACTTGTGGCTGTTGAGTTTTCTTATTTTTCTCTTGCCCTAAACTCTTTTTTATTGTCCCACCATAAATTGGATTCATGGGAGTGGAATAAGAGTCGCTTGAGTGAATCACAACTCCACAATCCTCCATAATCTTTGAAATCAAAATTGGGAATGAGAGACATCGCCACCTATCCTTTGTACCTTGTATTGAAATAATTTCATCAACTATTAAACAAGGTAGATCTATACATATACCATTTCCAATGGCATAGAAGAGATGAGCTCGATCAAGTCCAAAATCAGCAGTATGTCCTCTTGGACTAATATTGTACCCCATTATAAGGTTTAACATCCTATATTTGGGAGTAAGGTCTTGCTGAAAAAATACAGACTTGTCAATACTCTCACTAAAATTAATAGGCATACCCTCAATTTCTGCATAAACATCTTTCACCTAAAGTATGTCCTTAGCATTCTTGAATGGATAGGTAAGTGTATCGTTAAGAAAGAAGGGTCGGCGAACTCCTAATATTTTTGAAACTAAATTTGGGGTTACTTCAAAACTTACATTCCTCACAAGGGACTTAAACTTATGATCACCTTTATCAATATCATGCATGTTAGAATAAAAAATTTTCACCAATGTATTATATGTTTTATCCGTCTTTTTGATATCAACTGCAGAATTCCATTGATGATGAGCAAAAATAACATCACATCCTACATCTTTTAATTGATCCAATAAAACACCCCTCTCCAATAACAAAGGCTTATTATAAAAGCAATTATCATACCGGTGTTTGCAAATTTTATTGAAGAAAGATATGTCTTTATTGCATATGGGGTTGGATGACCTTGCTGGATTGAGGTTGGATAAACTTGTTAGATTGGATATAGGGTTGGATGAACTTAATGTATTGAAGGAGGGATCAACAGTGGGATCAACTGGATTAGTGGAGGGAGGATGATTATCTTTCTTCTTCGAGGAGGGACCAATGGAGGGAGGATCATTACAACTCTTCTTTCTCTTCATTTTTTCCCTATTGTTATCCACAACTTTTGGCCTATGCTTCTTTCTATCTTCGGTCATTATACTTTGCTGTAACAAAAAAAAAAATCAAAAGATTAACTATTACTTTGAGTAATAACAATTGATGGAGATGAGAGGAAGATAGGATTGCATTATTTTTGATCCATCATTCACAAAAACCATCATTCTTTCAACCTCAAAAACACATCCCTTATGCAACTATGTGTACAAAAATATTATGAAATTGAGAGAGAGACAACTATTTATACAAAAATATGATGAAATTGAGAGAGGGAAAAAATGGATACCTCGGAGAAGAGGAAGGCGGTGGCAGTGGCGGTAATTGCTTTGGACGTGGTTGGTCTGGGCTGTGGCAGTGGCTCTGGTGGCAGTGGCGGTGGCTTTGGTGGCGATTGGGTTCGATTCGATGTGGTTGCTGATTTGGGGCTCGAGGTTGTGGCAATGGTTGTGATTTAGGATTTTGAGTATGCAATCAGGTTGGATTTTCACCAATTTGGGTTAGATCGTTGATTTAGGGTATGCAATTAGGTTAGATCGGTTAGGGTTTTGAGGAGTTAGGTTTTTTGGGGAAATACGAAGATCGATTGGGGATTAGATTAGCGATCTAAGTTGGTCGGGTTATGTACGATCAAGTTCAAGTTTGTCGCTTGTTTCAAGTTTGATTGCTTGTCCGTTTCAAGTTTGATCGCTTGTTGATTGTTATATGAGTGTTATATGAACGATCTGTTTTAAGTTTTCAAACTAATCTTGATCTCAACCCCGTGATCAAGTTGCCTTTTGGTTAACATTTAAATTACATTTGTACCCCTAAATTATCACTCTTTTTTAATTTTTCTCTCATATTTTTTATATTACACCCTCAGCTATGTAATTAGTTTCATATTACCCCAAATTTTTTACCTATTTTAATTTAACCCAAAAAGTATACCCAAATATGATAACAAATTTATTTAGTGGTGAACTTAATTTCTATTATCACTTAAAATGGTGGTGAACTTACATAACCTAATCTAACCTCTTAATATTTTTAACTTAATCTAAAATATAAATTTAATTTCACTAAATAACCCCAACTATTGAAATTGTTTTCTATATTTTTATTTCATGGTTAAATATAATAAATAATTATCATTTTATTTTCTATTATCACTTATTTTTAAAGTGTATAGGAGGTTCACTTATTTTTAAAATATATACCGGTAAAATCGGTTACAATTTTTTACGGGTTTCTACAGGTGGCGAGTATAGAATCCTTTTAGTTTTTTAGTATCGTACCGATTTTTATCTTTTCGGTATTGAAACCAACTCCTCTAAGCCTATAATAAGTTACTCTAGCTATTTAATCAATGATAAAATTGACATAAAAGTACAAACCAAGGATAAAATGAAAAAATGAAAGTTTTTCACAATAACATACTTTTATTAGTAGTAATGACAGTTTTACACCTAATAAATAAGACGACTCAAAAATAATTTATTGGTTGTATAGACTTAACATCTCGTTTATGCCACAATTTTAAATTTGGGACTCACCTTTTTTCACGACGTAGATAAAATTAGTGAACTTGGGTTTAACATTATTGAAATCTTAATTTCAGTTCAAATTATTTAAAACCAACTCGGAATATTAACACCATTTTTTTTGTATAATCGTGGAATTGAAGTAATTGGATTAAATTCAAATCTATTGATTAAAGTCTAAGATCAAGTTAACTCTTCATGGTTACATCAAATATTTGTCTCTCGCCGGTGTCCCCGAATGAACTAACTTATGCCTATAATTTATAATTTAGAGGTGGTAATTTTAACTCATTATCCATTAATCTGTTCAATCCGTTTATAAATAAATGGGTTGGGTACCTATTGGTTTAGTATTTATCTTTTTATTAAATAATAAAAATAATAAAATTAAATAAATATACTAATATACCCAAAATATAGACACACTATTATACCAAAAATATACACATATAAAATAATACATCAAAACATACACATACTAGTACGCCAAAAATACACACACTAACACACCACCCATGCCTCACAGGTTGACCCACGACCCATGTCCCATGACTCACGGATGACCACACAACCCATAGGTTGACCCATAACTCATGGGTCAACCCATGATCCACGGACAATTCATAGCCCACAATCGACTCTAACCCATTATATGTGTGTGTGTTTTTATTAAATGTGTTTTAGTTTTTTTGTGTATTTTTGGTGTATTAGTGTGTATTTTAATGTATTAGTGTGTATATTTTTAGTGTATTAATTTGTGTGTGTTTTGTTTTATTAGTGTGTGTGTATATTTGTATTTTAGTGTATTATTGATATATGTGTTTTAGTGTACTAATGTGTTTATTAAAAATTTTAATTATTTTATAAATTATTTGATTTAACCTAATAGTTATAAATCTGATCCATTATAATTCATTTATTACGTGAATGAATAATAAATTAAATTTATTTTAATCCAATTCAATTTAACCCAACCCATAATCAAATCAATCCACCCATTTGACACACTAGTCACGATAATACATAATTTATTCTTGTAGAAATTGGTCCAAAATGACCCCGTTTTATTACCTTATTTCTGGTCCAATGGGGTGGTTCACTTTAAACTCTCCGGCCACAAGCTTCACCCATCATCCCTATAGTAGGCCATTGTGATACTGCTCTAAACAATAGTATGTTATGCTTCTCCCCTCGTCGTTGCCTCCCAGGCTCAAACAACGACTTCAACTCACCACGGCCACCACCAGCATTGCCAGCTTCTTTTCCTCTACGTCAAAATCAACACTAGACTCTACTTTCACACCCAGTGGCAGTGTAGTTTCACTCTTGAAACGATGCAAATCTCTAGCGGAAGCCAAGCTAATCCACCAGCAAATTGTAGTGAGAGGGCTCAGCCTCAGCCTCAAGGCAGACACAACAACACCTCTATCCCAACTGGTGCACGTGTACATCACATGCGATGCACCATCCGACGCTCTCACAACACTCAAACACGGACTCCTTCCTTCTCCATACACAGTATTTTACTGGAATACCCTCATAAAGAACAATGTACTCCACCGTGATCTTTTCAATGATGCCCTCAAACTATATGTCCAAATGCAAAGACTTGGATGGAGGCCTGATGGGTACACTTTTCCTTACGTTCTCAAGGGGTGTGGCGAGCTTCCATCGTTTAAGAAGGGGGCTTCTATTCACGCTGCTGTTCGTATTAATGGGTTCGATGGTAATGTGTTTGTTTGCAATGCCATTGTAGCTATGTATGGGAAGTGTGATGCTTTGGATGATGCACGACTGATGTTTGATGAAATGTCTCAGAGAGGGGTAGGAGATGTGGTTTCTTGGAATTCTATCATTGCTGCTTATGTTCAGACTGGTGATCCTGCCACTGCACTAAAGGTATGTACCATGTACAATATACAAACCTCTCTCCTCTCTGAATATATAATATGGGGAGTGTTGTGGTAATGAAATGTACTTTTGAGATACCGTACATTTATTTTTGCTCTAATAAAAAGTTAACTCATCAACATTTTGTTTTTTTTACTACCTTATCATTTTACAATCAATTGTTCTAAATCATTCAAAATCAAATCATTGGCTGGCATGGTACCATTCGGTACCGTAGCCTTATCCGATGTATATAAATACTTATGTATTAGTTAATTAAATATAACCGATCAAAAAAATAATCAAAAATAATTCTATAGTTTGCTGATGTTCATTTGACAACTCAATAACAAAGATTGGTTCACTTGTCTTTTTTTTTTAAAGAGAGTATTATGGATTGGATGCCTATGTTAGGAATAATGCTATTTAGACCTAATAATTTGACCCAATATGGACATAATAACTTGTCAATGACTTGATTTGAATAAAATAGTCCCGCTGTTGCAGTTACAATAATGGTATGTCATCTGCACATCACAAGGTCAGGATAGTAAGGTAGATTATTAGTTCTAAATAGCCTTAGTGATATGTTAATACATGAATCATTTAAAGTTCTGTTTGGTTGCTGAGAAATGTTAGAGAGCAAGGAAAAAAGAAAAGAAAATAAGTAAATCTCAATTTCTAACCTTTGTGTGTTGAACTAATTCACCTGTTTTAAGACTTGTCTGTGTCTGGTGAGTTAAGTATTTTCTATGCTCACAGCTGCTTAATAGAAAGTGTATTGCATTTTAATTAGTCTAAGGGTTTTCTTTATATATTCTAGCTGCGCAAATATAGCTGGTTTATTTCTTGTTTAATTGATATGAAATTTAAAAACAGCGATGAGAAATAAAAAAGTTTGTTGAGAGTACAACACAACCTAGTTCAAATTTTGACCAAATTGGTTCCATTGAGTTTTCCACATATTTGAGGAGCTTAAACAAATAGAGAACCTTAAACAACATGAGATGCATGATTTATCAGTCGCTTTATCTTGTTCTCTCGGTGATGGCGCTTCACTTCCTCACTCTGCATTAAGTGGTTCTCTTGGTGATTAAATGGAAGATAATGTTATTTCTTGTGGCATCAAAGTTGAAATGTTTTGTCTCTATGATCACAGATGTTTGACAGGATGACTGGGCAAGGTGACTTTAGACTTCTGCCAGATGCTGTGAGCCTTGTCAACATACTTCCGGCTTGTGCTTCTGTTGGTGCATGGCTTCGAGGTAAACAGGTTCATGGCTACGCGGTTAGGAGTGGGTTGTTTGGGGATGTGTTTGTTGGTAATGCTATAGTAGACATGTATGCAAAGTGTGGATCGATGGACAAAGCGAACAACGTTTTTGAGCAAATGAAGGTGAAGGATGTGGTTTCTTGGAATGCAATGGTTACAGGATACTCTCAGATTGGTAGATTTGAGGATGCTCTTGGATTGTTCGAGGATATGCGGGAGAAGGAAATTTTGTTGGATGTAGTGACCTGGAGTGCTGTAATTGCAGGTTATGCTCAGAGGGGTCGTGGATATGAAGCCCTTGATGTCTTTAGGCAAATGCGAATTCGTGGGTCACAGCCCAATGCTGTTACTCTTGTGTCCCTACTTTCTGCATGTGCTTCTGTTGGAGCATTGCTTCTGGGAAAGGAGACTCATTGTTACGCTATCAAATGCCTTCTTTACTTAGATGGGAATGATTCTGGGGATGATCTAATGGTAATCAATGCTATAATAGATATGTATGCCAAGTGCAAATGTCCCAAAATTGCTCATTCCATGTTTGGGTCTGTGGCACCAAAGGATAGGAATGTGGTGACTTGGACTATCATGATTGGTGGGTACGCACAGCATGGGGAAGCCAATGATGCATTAGAACTTTTCTCTCAGATGCTAAAACATAAAAGCTCTCTAATTCCAAATGCATTCACTATATCTTGTGCCTTGATGGCTTGTGCTCGTCTGGGTGCTCTAAGGATGGGTCGGCAGATTCATGCTTATGTCTTACGAAATCAATATGAGTCCACCATGTTGTTCGTGGCCAACTGCCTCATAGACATGTATGGCAAATCTGGAGATGTTGATGGGGCCAGAGTTGTGTTCGACAACATGTACCAGAGGAATTCTGTCTCTTGGACATCTCTAATGACAGGATATGGCATGCATGGTCGTGGTGAGGAGGCTCTCCAAGTTTTTGATGAAATGAAGAAAACAGGTCTACCCATAGATGGTGTAACTTTTGTTGTTGTGCTCTATGCCTGTAGCCACTCAGGATTGGTTAACCAGGGAATCAAATACTTCAACAGCATGAAAACAGAGTTCAGGGTTGATCCTGGGGTGGAACACTATGCTTGCATGGTTGACCTTTTGGGTCGCTCTGGTCGATTGGATCAAGCTATGAAACTCATCAAAGGCATGCCTATGGAACCAAATCCGATAGTGTGGGTAGCATTGCTTAGTGCTTGTAGAACTCATGCAAATGTTGAGCTTGGGGAATATGCTGCTGGTCAGTTGTTAGAATTGGAGTCGGAGAATGATGGGTCATATACACTTTTGTCAAATATATACGCCAATGCTAGACGCTGGAAAGATGTGGCCAGGATCAGATCTTTGATGAAACACACAGGGATTAAAAAAAGGCCTGGCTGCAGTTGGGTCCAAGGAAAAAAAGGTACGGCAACCTTTTTCGTGGGGGACCGATCTCACCCGCAGTCTGAACAGATTTATGATACCCTTGGAGACCTAATTGATCGCATCAAAGCTATTGGCTACGTGCCTGAGACGAGCTTTGCTCTTCATGACGTAGATGATGAGGAGAAAGGCGACCTCCTTTTCGAACATAGTGAGAAGTTGGCTCTTGCTTATGGCATTCTCATATCAGCTCCAGGTGTGCCCATTAGAATCACCAAGAACTTGCGTGTCTGTGGTGATTGCCATATTGCCATTACCTACATTTCTCAGATCATTGAACACGAAATTATATTGAGGGACTCGAGTCGCTTCCATCATTTTAAAAATGGATCTTGCTCTTGCAGAGGATACTGGTGAAGGCAGACTCACGCTAGTCTACATAAGTAATTGGATTTGTATAAAGTTAGAAATGGATGGAGATCAGACTGCAACCCTGAACACAAAAAATTATGCGGGGCAGATGGAAGCTTGTATTATTCAACTACTTAGGAGAAAGATTCTTTATTGATTAGAACTGACAAGGTTTGCAAAAGGATGTACTGAGTGCACAAGCTTGTATTTGTTCTGAAGATCATATGAATAATTTAATGGTGGCATGGGGGGTATCTATTCCCTTACGTTGTCCTGGGAGCTTCAAAAGTCAATGTCTTGAGAGTAACCGGCATAGTTATTATTGCAGGAAGGGTTTTTGTATTTCATTTTGAGCTCATGCTGAGGGCATCAGGAAGGCAAAATTATCTGCTTCAACTCCCGTACTTAGAGGTGTTGAGAAACCCATGACGAGGATGACAGAAACCAGCTCCCTTGATGATATTTCCAAATGAGGTAATGAAATAGTTATACTATTCTTGTATGCTTCACTTTCTCTCGATTCCATTGGTGACTAAACATAGATAGTTCCTTAACTTCGCTTCGATATGTCTGTCAGCTGGATACCAATATCTCCATTTAATATGGCCTCAGTGTGGGAATTTTTTGTTACTTGGTTAATAAATTTTGGCTCTTATATACACACGTGCATTTATGAGCATTATATTATACTCACTGCCGCTTCTAATTACAAAATCAGTTTAAAAGTCAGTTGATGTTGTAATAATGTCTCTGCTATTTCCTTCAGCATGAAAATTCCGACATACATCTGAAATAGTTCACCAATTTACACTAGAAATGTTCCCATCTTCTTTTGTCCTGAACTAATCCAACTTATTCCTTTTTTGCCATTTTGTTATTAGGAACAGGGTCAGGGATATGGCCGAATGCAAAAAACAGCATAACTATTTGGTGCTGTGTTCGTTGAAGTTAAATCTCTGCTTGCCTTTCTAAGACCAGTGCAGTGAAATCCAACCAGAGTTTGATCTCTATGTTGGGGCTTATGTTTACTCTTGAGGGGATAATTTATCTGTTTTCCTTTACATATAGTGTTGGTTTTTTTTTACAGTCTAGTTTGTATATGTGATCCGGATGATGACCCGACCCCGAAATAATGTTGTGTAGTTTTTTAATGAAAAATTTTTTGAAGCTTAGTCCATGGAGTGAAGGCTTGGGCTGATAGGCCCAAGCCGTAGCGCTCATGGACAAGCCTTGTGGGGGTTCGGGGACAATGCCCCCGAGGAAAAATTTTTGGGCCCGTTATACAATCCAGTGCGTAGGACATATAAACCCTATTGTTTTGGTGATTAGGGTTAATTGTGGATTGTACAGCCGCTCTCTGTATTCAACTCTCTCAATAGTGAAATCCCTGCAGCTTCGTGGACGTAGGCAAATTGCCGAACCACGTAAAATCTGTGTCTCGTTCTTTCTTGTTTCTTATTGTTTTATATTCTTGATTTGTTCTTCGATTGTGTGTGTTTGTTAGTGGATTTAAATCGTATTAAATCCCAACATATAGTCTTTTGATATCTTTAGGGATTGCACCTTGCACACCATACGGTGCTCCATTCTGATTACTGAGGACTAGTTGGATTTTCGTTTCAGCGGATTTTTTAGCCCGCCCGCCAACCTATATAGGGCCGAACAAGAGCCCGGATTCGTCTCAATAGCTATCTGAACCAGTGTGAGTGGTAGGGATCGAAATGAAGCATAAATAGGTGGGTTTGGACAGACGTTAGTTAGTTATCGATCAATCATTTGAGAACTAGTCTCCAAGTTTCAAGATGCAAAGGTTCAAGCATTCAGTACCATCTATTGGTCTAGAACTAGTTGACTGAGCTGAGATAGCAGCAACCACCATGGCTGGAGCAGGGGAATGAGAAGAAGATGAAGCAACAGTCGCGGTTGAATCAATACCATCAATAGGAGTTTGAGTTGCTCGAGCAACTAGTCGCAAGGGCATGTTGCGGGTCACCCCTAACTATACAACATAGGCAGATGTAAAAACGGCTAGAGAGGGGATGAATTACCCCGCTTATGATTTAAACTAGTATTTGTTTCACTTTGGATACCAAAACCTATATTCATGTCAGTTCAATACCGGGGTGCTATACACAGAATTCGAAGGTAGGGTTGATTGATGCCAATTACTTGTTCTAAATAGGAAGGTTTTCATATGCATGCATTTCATAGCCCTAGCAAAGTGAATCTAATCCCTTAGCGGGAAACTTGGAAATTGAATTTCATTTAGAAATCGCAACAACAACTCTTGTTCGGTTACAAATCCGAGATTTTGACTGTTGAGATCATGGTAGACGAGACTTGATCCCAAGTTTCTCTCTTCCGCCTGATAGTTTTATGTTCCGTATCCAATAGGCCACCCTGCTACTATCATCATAGAGAGAAGGGGGGGGGGGGTAGCTGGCTTTCCTGATCAAACTAGAGGTTATCAAGATTGAAGAAAGTCGAGCTCTATCGGAAGTCAAATCAAAGAGGTCAATAGCTTAAGTTTATACCCCTTCACTAATGCCTCTAACTTTATACAACCCCGTTGAATCTCTAGCTCTTCTTGTCAGAACAAGCGCCTGCCTAAACAGCGTAATTGCGCTTCTTTGTTGGCACATTGACCGGACAATAGTGTGCTACTGAAACGGATTAAAGTTAAGATACAATATTGTTGATCTACTGGAATTTCTGACTTCCGGAGATTTGTTCCCAGGGAACTATATACTCGTCTTGCTGCGTGGTGCCTGCGCATGAAGTATGGTTTTTCGTAATTCAAATATTAGATGCTTATAGAATTTAGTCATTCAACTTATAAAGCAATTTTAATGTGTCTACTCCCATTTCACTGGTTCTTGGAATTTTGGCAAATCAATTGATCTTTTGTTAAGCATTGACTAACTCAACCACTAAGTGCTTAAAGTGAGACCCTTGTCCTTTCCCTCTTCTTCCATGAACCTGATCATCAGATGTGTGTGTTAACAGGCAAAAATTAGGTGAGATTTCCATTTTGTGATGGGAAAATAATGCTTCCATCTCCCCTAATTATACTATCTCTGAGATTTACTGGCATTTGAAGTCCTACTCTTGTAGGAGTATTGTATATTGCCTATGGATTTCATTCTGCATCTTGGCTTTACTGTATATTAATTTTCATGACCAGATAAGGGGTGTGGTGGGGTGGGGTAGGGTAGGATGGTGTGGGGAAGGGGGTCAGAATGTGATTATGGACCCATTTGAAACTGGTTTTTTTGGGTATAAAATAGAGATTTGAAAAGTGAAATAAAAAAGTCAGAGTTAAAAAAGTTCTTAAAACCATTTGGAATGTTTTTGAAAGAGTCAACTTTTCCTTAGAAGCTCTCGAATGAACGTCATTTTTCAGTTTTTCCTTTGTACTAATAAAAAATTGTTTTTGCTCAAAAAAATAAGTGAAAAAGCCGTCCAATAAGCCCAGGTCCAAATAAACCAAATTTTTTTTCCTAAGTTGAGATTTTAAGCCAACTCTAAACAGGCCATATGTTGCATTTTGTTCTTGCTTTGCTTACTTTTTCCGTACTAATATAGTTGTTTAGATATTTCAGAAGAACATATGAGAGAACTGGAGGTTTATTCACATCTCTGAAAACATGTTTCACCCTTCATTTTTTTAGGACCCTACATGTTGCTTCACTTGGTTAGTAAGTTAGAATCTCCTATAAGTGGTCTTCTCAGAATTCTCAACAAGCTAATGACTTCGGATGCAACACTTCTCAAGTATAGGTGGTCTTTATATTGGTAATTTGCAGAGCTACTGGTAAGAAATTTGTATAAAACTTAGGTTTGGTAGAGTTGAAAACCTCAGTATTGAAAGAGAAGGGAGAAACTGAGGTTTTGACGAAAGCTTGGTGATAAGAATTTATGTCTAGTTGAAGCGCAGACTGAGACAGTAGATTGTGGTGACCAAAATCCCACGGCGTAAGGTGAAGTCCGTGTCGGGGTGGTACACAAGTATGAGTTATGAACTTTATAGTGTAATTTGTCTAAAAAAATAAAAAATATTTTTATTGTGCAACACATTAACTTTTAAAACTATGCAGACACCCAAACAAATATTGTTATATAATGCGAGTCTGGGCGGTATAACAAGTTAACAACAGCTATAGCAAAAGCATACCACCCATGTGTACCCTAATTCTGTATAAAAGCATAAAGACTTGCATTCTTCTTCACTGCACGGTGCTAAGTTATGGCCAAGGGGGGCCATCCCCCGCCNCTTAAAATGAACTTTGATAGGTTCTATGAATTAAAAAAGGTAACATTAAATGATAACTCATTAAATAACATGCACACTAAATAAAAATTTCTTGTTACACTACTATTTGGCCCCCTCAAGATCGACTTCTCGCTCCGTCCCTAACTACTACTAATGAATTAAACATATAGGCCTCAATATAGCTAAAAATTTAGTCCCTCGTACGTCTGACCAAATAGCCAGTTACTTGGTGCAACATTGATAGACTGGATCACCCTCTTATCACTGGAAGTAATTTGAAATGACAAGCTTTGCCCAACCAAATTTATGCCAGTCTGCCAATTTTGCCCCCAGTTCCGGTACATCGGAATCCAACCTATACTGTCGAAGCCCTTAATGTTAACATTAGCAACGTCACCAGCGCCACCAACGTTGTATACCAAGACAAGCAAAAAGTAGGGATTTCCATTCAACTCGAACTTGATCCCTCCCATCTTTTTGTCGCACGTCGTCCTTCGAAACCTGACAGGGACGATGCCGGCTTCGTATTTTGCCAACTTTAAGAACATGGGCATGGACAAATCGAAGTGTGTTTGAGGAGGGTTGCACCAGCCACCTTCAATGTAGTTGGGAGGACAGAAATTAGTTGCTGTTACTTTGATGGTACTAGCACCAGGTATGCACCATTGTGGATCATCACTGCACTTAATCTCAAAACATGCACCACAAGTCTGACCATTGTTGAAGAGTGCTGTGCTTAGAGCTGTTGTGGCAAGCCCATATCCTTGTTGAAAAAGGTCACCATAGCCACAAGCTCCTTCTGCCAAACAANTATTTTGATTATACCCCTAATACTATGTTTTTATTATAGTTTCTGTTTCCCTCATATTTTGAAAATAACCCTTAAATTATGATTTTATTTTTTCTTTACTCTAAATTGTTGATTTGATCATACAATACCGAAACACAAATACATATCAAGTTCAAAATTATACAACATATACCCCCTTCCGCTCTCCCTCTCTCTCCAAAGATTAGTTGTACTTGAGTTTATAGGTAATAAAATTGAACTGAAATTATTGTTTATGCAATGAAAGTTTAACACTTTTGTTGGAAATCGATAATGTTGCAACTTAAAATGAACTTTGATAGGTTCTATGAATTAAAAAAGGTAACATTAAATGATAACTCATTAAATAACATGCACACTAAATAAAAATTTCTTGTTACACTACTATTTGGCCCCCTCAAGATCGACTTCTCGCTCCGTCCCTAACTACTACTAATGAATTAAACATATAGGCCTCAATATAGCTAAAAATTTAGTCCCTCGTACGTCTGACCAAATAGCCAGTTACTTGGTGCAACATTGATAGACTGGATCACCCTCTTATCACTGGAAGTAATTTGAAATGACAAGCTTTGCCCAACCAAATTTATGCCAGTCTGCCAATTTTGCCCCCAGTTCCGGTACATCGGAATCCAACCTATACTGTCGAAGCCCTTAATGTTAACATTAGCAACGTCACCAGCGCCACCAACGTTGTATACCAAGACAAGCAAAAAGTAGGGATTTCCATTCAACTCGAACTTGATCCCTCCCATCTTTTTGTCGCACGTCGTCCTTCGAAACCTGACAGGGACGATGCCGGCTTCGTATTTTGCCAACTTTAAGAACATGGGCATGGACAAATCGAAGTGTGTTTGAGGAGGGTTGCACCAGCCACCTTCAATGTAGTTGGGAGGACAGAAATTAGTTGCTGTTACTTTGATGGTACTAGCACCAGGTATGCACCATTGTGGATCATCACTGCACTTAATCTCAAAACATGCACCACAAGTCTGACCATTGTTGAAGAGTGCTGTGCTTAGAGCTGTTGTGGCAAGCCCATATCCTTGTTGAAAAAGGTCACCATAGCCACAAGCTCCTTCTGCCAAACAACAGCATTTTTTGGATTAATATATAGCAACGCAATCATTTGTTCGTAACTATGTACAAAACCAAGATTTTATATACAATGGTAGAGGATTATTACAAATATATACTTGGGAAAATTACATAATCATCTATATTTTCTCACATTTGAAATATTGCACCTACACCCTTGAGGTTTGTGCGCGTGTAACATAACGCCTATCGCCAGTCTCTGTTAAGGTAAGCGTTAACAGATATTAGTGAGTGTTTTCTATTTTTATTTGCTAACAAAACATTGGAATATGGAAACAAAAAAAAAAGGGGGATAAAACACAACAGATGTTTCAAAAAAAAAAAAGCCTTGATGTACAAGAACTCTAATGAGAACAGACATTTAAAAAAAAAAAAACCCTGATGTTCAAGAACCCTAATTAGAACATATATATTTTTAAAAAAAAAAAAATTGATGTACCAAAACTCATGTTCTGCCACACCATATATTCAGATTAATACCAATAATCAAACAAATAATCAATTTGTTTTAACAATGCCCTAATCATAACCAAAAACATACTATTAAAATCATGAGTTATTTTCTTAAAATTAGCAAAAATAATAAAGACTGACGAATTTTTAATAGNGGGGGGGGGGGGGGGGGGGGGGGGGGGGGGGGGGGGGGGGGGGGGGGGGGGGGGGGGGGGGGGGGGGGGGGGGGGGGGGGGGGGGGGGGGGGGGGGGGGGGGGGGGGGGGGGGGGGGGGGGGGGGGGGGGGGGGGGGGGGGGGGGGGGGGGGGGGGGGGGGGGGGGGGGGGGGGGGGGGGGGGGGGGGGGGGGGGGGGGGGGGGGGGGGGGGGGGGGGGGGGGGGGGGGGGGGGGGGGGGGGGGGGGGGGGGGGGGGGGGGGGGGGGGGGGGGGGGGGGGGGGGGGGGGGGGGGGGGGGGGGGGGGGGGGGGGGGGGGGGGGGGGGGGGGGGGGGGGGGGGGGGGGGGGGGGGGTATCTCGTATGCCGTCTTCTGCTTGAAAAAAAAAAGAGAGGAGGGGGAGGGGGGGGGGGGGGGGGGGGGGGGGGGGGGAGGGAATAAAAAATTCCACATGCAGAATGAGTTGCCTTCGATTTCTACATTCCCCTTTGATTTCGTTTCCTATTAATTATTTCCTTATTTTTTTTTCAGTGTATCACAGATTAGTTGCCTGAATATCCGCTTGTAATTTTCCACTTTGGATATGCTTCCTTCCATAGTCTCTCCCTTGTTTAAATCTCTCTCCTTTTGTCGATATGGTCTTTTCACACTCTTAGAAACTAATTCTGATGGGGAAGGCAACCGAATTATTACAACAAAAAAAAAGGTTTTACCTAAGAAAGTTTTACCCGTAAAATTAATTTCGTAGGTAAAGAAACTTTTTTTTCGAGGAAACTATGATTTCGTTAGCAAACACTTGTGCACATTCTTCCTCAGAAGGGGTGATGTCTTTAACGCTATAGACATTAAAAAAAATTAACAATTTAATGTTTATAATTAGGCTCAAATCAATTAGAATTGGGTTGGACCTAAATTTCATAAGTCCAAATAATACAAGTCTAAAATTTAATTAAATAGGCTTGAGTTTGACCTAAATTCTATAATCCAAATAATACATGCTCAAATGTAATTAATCAGACTTGCTAAATTAAATTAAATGAACTTAAATTTCATAGACTCAAATTAAACAAACTTTTAAAATAAAGTAGGGTGGATTTAAATTCTATAAGTTAACTAAAGCTTATAAATTTTTGGGTAGCTCACTACCTAAAACTCATATAACAGTAGTAAGGTAAAAGTACTCTTATATGGATAACTACTCTTACCACTACAAATAGAGGTTTAGGGGAGAGCCAGAGGAAGGAAGCCAAAAGAGGGGGCCAAGAAGAAAGGGCAAGAGAGGTCAATGAGGAGGGAAGATCAAGAAAGCTCTACCCGAGACCATGGGAAGATTAATAACGAAGCTCTGCCGGAGTCTACCCCTAGCCGAAGTTTTGGAAATCCATCTCAAGAGAAGAAGAGCAAACCACTAAGGTCCTTCTTCAAGAGATTCAAACCATGTTCAAACTATTCAACACAAAGAACGGTGAAAAGATTCGACAAAATCAAGACAAAGATCAAAGAACGAGATTCACATCAATTCTACCCTTTCCTTCAACAAATCCACCAAATCAAAGATCGAAGAACGAGAATCACTTTAATCCGACTCTTGTTTTCAACAAATCTACCAAAATATCACTAAATTGTAGATTTAGGAACACGTTGATCAAACTCTTGTCTTTACCAAATCAAAGATCGAGAAACACACCGATTTGACCGTCGTCATCATCAAATCCACCGAGAATCAGAGAACAGTGCACGTGAGAAGCACGCTGAAGAAAGTCAACACCATTTTATTAAATCAATTCAAATCATTCAACTATTATAATATTGACATTACTTTTATGTTATATTACACCGCGAAATTTTGTAGTTACAAACGCCAAAACTAATTTAAGTCATTAAAATAAAATTTTACTTGATCTTCATCGATGAAATATTTTCCTAGGTAAAACTAAAATTACATTGTTTGTGTTTCACTGAGGAAATGTGTTTTCATAAGGGAAACAAGGTCAAACAAAACTATGAGGTTTAGGTCCAAATCTTTACCATTGACTTTCTCTCTCTCTCACACATACACACACTCTCTCTCGATCTGTCTTCTTGAAATCTCCTTGCCCAAAGCCTATGGAATCAAATGAAGCCTTCTCTGTTGAACGAATAAAACCCGCACTCACCTTCTTAGTTCTTTGTTCACTGCTCAGTCCTTTATTCTTCATTTGATTCTTTGTTCATAGTTTGTAATGGGACATATAATTCAACAAACCTATCATTAGAGGACACATGANAATCCTACATTCGTTGCTCAGTCCTTTATTCTTCATTTGATTCTTTGTTCATAGTTTGTAATGGGACATATAATTCGACAAACCTAGCATTAGAGGACACATGACCAAGGTAGGACCCACCACTTACACGTCATCCCTTGAACATGTACAAGGCAAGAAACATACTTGGAGTTACCGACTCGTGGAGTATCTCGATGAGATGTGCCCGGGCCCAAGTACTTCAACAATCTCTTACAAATAACGAGATCCATAGTTGTCATTCAAATTGATGGATAAGACAAGGGAATGAGAATGCTTGCTGACGGGATTTTAAANCAATCTCTTACAAATAACGAGATCCACAGTTGTCATTCAAATTGATGGATAAGACAAGGGAATGAGAATGCTTGCTGACGGGATTTTAAACGGCTCAGTAGTCGCAAAGTCAACACGTGGATAATTGTAGCTGGTGCGGAGTGCAAAGGGTGCCTGGACGTGGTGCTGAGGAGTTAAAGCCTGAGGAGGCCGAGTACACCCGCTAGGACCTTTCATTAAAGAAGATATGGCAGCTCATTAAATAAGGTTATGAGTGGCTACAACTCATTAAATGCGCATCTAGGTCCTCGAGAAGTGTGAGGGTCGTCATCAATACAAAGCATTAATTAAAAAAGCGCCGACCTTCTATCCTCAATGAAACCTAAGGGGTGTTTATTCCCAAAAAGTGAACACTTGGGTGTAGGTGTCAAGCACCAATCAGTGGTATTTAATGATCGGATATAAGGCCATTAAGATTCGACAAGTGACGAGCATGGTTTTGATCACCCGAGTGAATCAGTCTTGAGAGGATTTGATAGGACAACATTAATTACACATCGATGCGAGTGCAAGCCATTAAATGTGCAAATGGGACTCAAAGATCATGCAATCATTACTAGCTCAGGTATAAATACCCCTTAGAAGAATGAATAAATGTACGCAAACTAAATCCAGAAAATACAATGTACTAATGTCTTCAATGTTGATTGATTACCTGGCCCTTTTCCTAATTTTTTGATTGTCTCAGGTTCATCATCCAGCGGATCATTATTTCTATTTATTACAGGAATTCACTTGTACAATTTGGCACCATCTGTGGGAACCAAAGGACCAGCTTTCCTCGTAGCAATAGCGTTATGGTGAACATGCAATCTCAAGGAGAGTTGGGGGATGGCTTACACATGAGAAACGTATAAGCTAGTCGGCCCCCAATTATCGTTGAATCACCCTCCCTCAGCCTATCGGATGGAGCCCGGCACGTCTCTCAGTAGACAGTACCGATGGACCAGAGCCTTGGGGGGCAAGGCATCCTGACTCGCGAAATTGTTGAGTTAATGGAAAATTGGATGGGAAAACGTTTGAAACGACTTGAAAAAGACAACACCAATGTGCGGACCCGACTTGATGACTTCGAGCAGTCAAAGGAAACCAATTGGCGCAATAGCAGGCGCGAGGATCCAAGTATCCACTAGAGTGATTCCTGGGGCATAATGCAGGAAGTCCTGGGAAGGAGCTTGCATGAACCCCTGGGTGAGAAGCACGCTCTTCGGCATGATGGAGGGCTTGCCCCCGAGGAGAATTCCTAAGGTAGCAAGAGGTGCAAGTTGGATCTGTCTTGTGGGGGATCTCTGCCACAAACTATCAGGAGGTACTGAGGCGTCGAAGTCCCACACGGATTCAACTACGAAGGGGCCTGGGAACAAAAGACCTCTGGACGCGCTTGGATGCTAAGCGTCGAAGACCCCTCTGAAGGGATGATGATGACACCAAAGACGAGCAAATTGTCTCGCCGTTTGAGCTACTGAAGAAGTTTACAGTCCCCTATTTTAAGGTTTACGATGGGAGGACGGGACCCTGAGAGTTATCTACGATAGTATAAGCAGCTGATGTCCATCTATGACGCTAATCAAAGGTTACTATGCCGAGTGTTCCCCATGATCTTAGGGAACACTACCACAAAGTGGTATGAGAGTTTGGTCTCAGAAAGTATTAAGTCTTGGAGGCAGATGTTCCAGTTGTTTGTCGTTCGATTTATCACTAGCAGCAAAAAGCCCAAAGACATTGGTGCTTTGTTGACACTCAAACGTTGAAGTGGTGAAACTCTTCGGCAATATGTCATAAGATATTGAGAAGAGGTGAACGAAGTGGAGACATGCTCGGAAGCCATAGCGGCATCGCCAATCTAACTGAGGCTGTCCTGAGAGACCGACCTGTATCGCTCATTGACCAAACAAGCTTCGGTAGACATGAAGGACCCGATGTCCCGTATAAATCAATATGCGAGGGTGGAGGAGGAGTCGGCTGTGCCAGAGTCTCGGGCTCCAACAATGAAAAAATGAGACAAGGAGCCGTCCACGAGGAGGGGAGCACCAGTCTCGCCTCCAGGCCGTATATCTTTCCAAGGAGTAAGCACGGTCTTCAAGGAGTTCATTTACAAAAATATTTCACAAGATAAAGAAGGAGTCTTTCTTCAAGTGGCCCCAACTAAAACGCTAATTAGGTCATTAATTATGATTATATATAATTGAGATTTATTTTTTTAGAAACAAATGGACCTCAAATATAGACTCTTCA